AAATGTGAACACCCAAATATCTTCCCCCTTACATTTGCTAGATTCAAATAAAAACCAGATGAGGTGGTTTCTTTTTTTCTTTTTTTGTGTTGGAGTCTCTCTCCATCACCCAGGCTGGAGCACAGTGGCACGCTCACGGCCACCCCAGTGTCGACCTGCTGGGCTTTGGCGATCCTTCTGCCTCAACCTTCCAAGCAGTGGGAACCACAGGCACGTGACCATGCCTGGTTCATTTTCTGATTTTTTTGTAGAGACGAGGTCTCGCCAAGTTGCCCGGGCTGGTCTTGAACCTGCAGACTCAGGCAATCCATCCACCTCGGCCTCCCAAAGTGCTGGGAAGACAGGCTGAGCCGCCGAGCCCAGGCAACCAGGCACCTAGTCTGTACAGGCCTATCCCAGGGGTTCCAGTTGGCCTACATATTTATGGCTAGGCTCCCTGTCCTTATCTGCTTTGAGTTAGATACGCATCTGTGAACTTAAAGCTCACCTGCAGTCAAGCCTAAACCCTTGCAGCAGCACCCCTAGTGCTGTCAACGTGACAACTCCCTTGGGAGAGAACTGATGTACCCGGGGAAATGAAGCTATGCCACTGTTTCCACTACACTTGGCCATGGGGAGAGTCACAGAAATCAAACAAAGGAGTTCCTTTTTATTACAAGGGAACTTAAATGGCTCATTCAGGACTCTGGCAGAAGAATCATATTTATGAAATTAGAAGCTTAATTTTAAGAGAACAAACGCAGTCATGGAACAATGTTCCAGAATGACAGCTAGGACACAATTTATAATTACAAATAAAATACAGGAGAAAAAGCACCTGATTACAAAACTAAACCCTTTACTGACGACTTCAAAGCTGTGTTGGATGTTCTCTTATGAAATGGTGCCGTCAATCTCCAAGCCTTGCTAATTGTCATGTCAAAGTGTGTTCCACAGTAACCTGTAAAAGTTCCTAAATTTCTTTGCCAGAACGGTCTGAGAATCGGTCTCTGACGCTTCTTTCAGTCAAAAGATTATGGATCAATGGCTCTTACAATTAAGTGCTAGACTGTTTCCACAACTTCATGGACTGACAGTTGGGTATCCCGGCTAACTTCATTCTTTCTGTCACATTTGACGATGACTGCTCCTCCTTGCATTCACTCACACTTCTCAGTCACCACCTCCTGTTCTTCCTCCTGCTTTCCTGTTTATTACTCTGCTTTCCAGGCTCTTCCACCAATTTCCTAATGTCAACCGCCCCCTTTACATTCTCTCTAGCACTTTCCAGTGCTACACCGATTGCAGGATTCCTCATCCAAATAATCCTAGCTTCCCGCTTCCAGCCCCAGGCTCTAAAGTCACCTTCCTGCCTTTGTACTTAACTAGATAGACATCGACTCCCAGATACCAAAAATACCTTTCAGGGCAGTGTATCCAAAAACATATTCATCTTCCCCTCTGGACTTGCTGTTTCTCCTGAGAACCACTCCTCCATTCAATTTGAAGTGAGAAGCTTATGGAGTCATCATGGTCTCCTCTGATCTATACTCCCATAAATTAAAAATGAAGTCCGATCTTTTTCACGTGGCAAGAAAAGCTTCATGTTAATGGTTCCTACTTCGTCTAGTTTCATCCCCTCCCTCACCTCCCTGAGAGGTCACTTGTATTTAACTTCCAGTCATTCTATGAGCACGCCACGTACTCCTCTACTTCAGCTAAATTCTCTTCCTTACCTTGCTGAACTGTAAATTTCTACTTAATCTGACTCACCTCAAACATCTTTTTTTTAATTTCCCAGCACCATTTACTGAATATGTTCTCCTCTCCCCAGTAAGCATCTCTTCTTGAACCCTGAGAATTTGTTCAACATTGTATTTAAGAATAGAAATCAACTGCTCTGGTACTAGAGACAAAATCCTTGTATTACAGCTCGCAATCTAGTAAGGCAGATGAGACTACAAATAATTACAAGCAGGTTGACAAATAGGAGGCTGAAATTACCATGGAGTGCTACGGCAGCCGGGGAGGCGCACGCACACAATCATCATGTGAGTATTCCTTGTATCAGTTTTGCTTGGACTGAGCTCTGTGAATTAGTAGGAGTTTGTCCAATGGCCAAGTGAGGTCAGGGTACATTCTGGTAACTGCTATTACAGAGCTGCACGTCGGGGAAGAGGCTAGAGGAGGAATTACATCATAAAGGAATGATAAGCAGCAGCCAGGTGGAGGATACATGGGAAGCCCGAGGAGACAAAGGTGGTGTGCCAAACAAAAAGCAATGGCCTAGAAAGCAGTGGTGGTGAGAGGAAGGGAGGGTGCAGAAGGCAAATCCTTGTCCTTGTTTCAGATACAAAGTAAGGCATATTGTATCTTAGAACAAGGTCAAGAGATAGATGTTCTGATTTTTTTTTTTTAGTTGGAGTCTCACTCTGTCGCCCAGACTGGAGTGCACTGGCCGCTCTCGGCCACCGCAGCCTCGACCTGCTGGGCTCTGGCGATCCTTCTGCCTCAGCCTTCCAAGTAGCTGGAACTACAGGCATGCGCTACCACGCCCGGGTAATTTTATTTTTTTATTTTTATTGTAGAGATGAGGGCTCGCCAAGTTGCCCAGGCGGGTCTCGAACCCGCGGCTCAGGCATCTACTCACCTCAGCCTCCCAAAGCGCTGGGATTACAGGCTGAGCCACCCAGCTCAGCTAGATGTTCCGATTTTTACACAAGAAGAAATTCAAGCTTGGAAGGATGTTACTTGCTCAAGACGGCACAGCTGACAAGTAGGGGGCAGGGATGAAAACCACAAGACCTTGCTTGTAAGCAGCATCATGAATCCGGATCTTCAAATGCATGCCCAGGTATAAACCAACAAATCATGTTTTCACAGTTCTGGCCTGTTAAACGTATCAGAATTACAGTCAGTCCCCTACGTACAAACGAGTTCTGTTCTGAGAGTGCACCTGTAAGTCCAGTTTGTTCATACATCCAACAAAGTTAGCCTAGGTATCCAACTAACACAACCAGCTATATAGTACTGCTCTATAATAGGTTTATAATACTTTTCACACAAATAATACATAAAAAATAAAAATTTTAAATCTTACAGTATCTTGAAAAGAACACTGAACTAACTTAAGCGATTGGACATAACACAGACATTTGCGTCTTTGAAAAGTGTTCAACTTGCAAGTTCGTATGTAGGGGAATTACTGTAATTTCTAAAGAAGATTCCTCTCCCCATTAATAAGCATCGCGGTATAGAGGAAGGAGAAATAATCTAGCAGTTTTAAGGTCATATACCCTAAGATTTTAATGCTCCATGCTGTGCACAATCTTAGTAGTACATCCAAATTCTGATGGTATCTCTTTAAAGTTATCTAGTTATGCATTCTCCAGTTAATAATTTGACATGAGCAACAAAGTTTAAAAGTGAACTGATAAGCTTACAAAAATATCCCCTGTACTTAACATGTAGCCTATAGTGCTGGGCATATAAAAAACTTACTGATCTAAAAGTAAAACTTGAATTTTAAAACATGCTTAAAAATGACATCAATAGTCTTCCTTAACTGGGAGAAATAGTATTTTCTTTACCTACCAAACTTGCTATACATATATTATAAAGCATACATAACGTCTATTTGGAAAACTTTAAAAGATGCCTAATGTCTCTAAAAATGAGGTTACAGCTAAATGAAAATATTCCTCTACAGTTTCTCTTTAGCAGTTGAGTGAATGGATTTCTTATTCTAAGTTACATTTCTTAAAAAAGAAAAGAAAAATCTAAGACAAGAGATATTCCCTAAACAAAAATTAACCTACCAAACTGAACTATACAAACATCAATACAAGTAACATGAGCTAAGCCCTAAATTTCTTTCATTTTTTAAAGCTTACAAAGGAGAGGGTATAACTAATTTCTTTAATTCCGACACTGTTTTTATTAAAGTATTAAAGATTTTAGACATTAAGAGTAACAAGGGAAAATCTGAAGTATTTTAGGGAAAAAAAAAAACCCTCCATATCAGGTATATTAATGGCAGCCACAAATAAAATGCTGAGACTAAATATACATTAACAGCACACCTGTAAACACTGCAAAAAACGTCGTGCACATCAGGGAAGGGAGACAAGAGTGGCAAGACAGGTTTCAAATTGAATTGACTGTGACGGGCCTACCTTCAAGCCAATACTGAGACTGAGGGACGATTTGGGCTTGATGGCAGAAAGGGCTGAGAGGGATTCTGAAGGCCGACGGCAGGTGCGCGGGCGCGGCCTTCGGCGCGAGTCTCACCCTCCGTCTTAAACTGACCGCGATACTGTTCTTCCGATTCTGTTATGAACAGGGTATGTCATGCTTCTCATCAGATATGTGTCCTGATGTGAGATGTAACAAAATAAGCAAATCATGGGATTCTTTTTTGCTACCTCTGACAAGACAATAAACCTACTACTAGTTTTCTAAAAAGCACAAATCTTATGGGTGGCTTCAGTTAAAAAAACACTAGGGTTACATTTTTTCAAATGCTCTTATTCATCTAGAAAATTCAGTGCTTTATAGATACATGCTATACATTTGTGTGTTGTGTGTGTATATATATATGTAAACATATATATATGTTCTTTTAGGAGAAAACATTAGCATTTCCGCTTGATATATTAAATAATGTCCATTATGCATATTTATTTGTAATAGTAAAACTTCCCATGAGTGAAACATGTTACAGTCACCTATAGACATTCATTTTTCTCTATTTACAATTGATTATGGAATGCTTGCATACTGCAACCCAGTTATAGAAAAGTCGCATAAACAATATAAATCTGATGCTCAATCCTTTACAAATATCAAACTTTCACTGGGTTTTCAAACTGTCAAGTATAAATAGGATGAGGTCAGCAATACTTAAGATGAGGCACTTTAACAATTACCCGAAGAGGTTAAGTGTACAAAACTGTAAAACAGAACCCGTGATATTAATCTTATCCTTAATTTCAGACGTGAGTAATCTGAGATGGTCTACATAAGGAGTGTTATAAACTTTATTTCTTGCCCTTTTGCCTCCACTTAACCTAAGGCAACACAACTGTCAAACACAAGATGGAGACATCATCACAGACCAGTTAATGTGCTCACATACAAGTGAACTAGACAAACACTATCTAATGACACTTACATTTCAGAAAGTGACTATTTCAACACTAAAACGTCTGCATAACTTTTTCATAAACATGTGTAAATACATTGGTCTTCCAAAGGCAGATGGTATCTCTACCATATTTCTAAACAAGAATGCCCTCGAATGTATTATCACGATTTTAGTCTTAGGTACTTTTTTAAAACACTGAATTTTAAAAATACTCAGAAATCTTAAAATTAAATCTACCAATACTTTCTACATTACAATTTTAAGATTAAAAACATAATAAAGAACAGATGTTTTGTTTTGCCAGCCATTTACAAAAGACATTTTAAACACAGACATTTGGCCTACTCATTTTCAGCCTTCAATCATGTTCTCTGTATATCTGCACTGAATGTTTTGGTAGCTCAGATAATAAACACTTGAGATACATATAATATCTCTATTACCTGCTGAATTCATTGTGCTGTATTTTCCCCAACTGTCTGCTTTCTATATTTCTCTGTTCATAAAGAAAATGGCTGACTCCAAGATTAAAGCTTATCCAGAAGAAATTAAAAACTTGGTATCAGATTCTGTGGACCTATTAACTAAATTTCATGTAAGAGTTACTTCTGGTAGTTTACAGCTCAGATATCCAAGTGTCCTTTAATAAAAATGTGAGTCAGTACTCACTTGTACACTAGCTGTTCCAAGTCTATTGTCAAAATCACTTGCTCTGTGTATACATGCACTCCTTAATTCCCTAAAACAGTTTTGGCTCTTCTAAAATTAGAGAGAAACTGGTTTTCAATCAGTATGCTACCAGACACTTAATTCTCCTCTAAAATCTGAAGCTGGCCAATTTTCAAATAAATGGAAAGAGAAAATACTTATTTAGAATGACAAAAATTAAGCTTGGCAAAAGTAGTGATTTTATTTACAATTGCATGTATCACGATTACAATAGAAACACTAGTGATACCATCTGAACAAAAGCAATGATTTATTGGTAATGGCAATGAATGAAACATCGACAGTCTCTGGTGAGAATCAAGCAATTATCCAGGAGCTGAAGATCTGATTGCAACAAGGTCTTCCAGTGTCTTTTAACCTTAGTGGCTTTCTCCTTTTTTGCCAACTACCTAGAAAAACAAGAATAACTTCATATGTACATCTTATGGTTTAAAAAATGAGTTATTTTTAAAATACAAATACAGTCATCAATTTTAAACCCTGGTGTTAATTTTTATCTCTGAATCTGTTTCAGCATGCAGTCTCTTTTCCCTGTCGAGGCAAACTGTGACCCACCATCTCCCTGCCACAAGAAATTAAAAGTAAAACACAGGCAGGCTATTTGGTTTCCACGCTGTCTTAAGAAAAAGGAAAGCAATTTTTCAAAACAAGGTCTTGAAAATTTGACAGTCTGGAAAAGTTAATATAAAAAGACGCTATATGAGTAAAACACATTTGGCATACTATTTTTAGGCAATCAGAAATCAAATGTCGATCACAAAATAGAAATTAGAAAGGTATGCTAACTTCATATCTTCATGCTCATGCCCAAAATAGCAGGTTTCTAGATTTTCCCTCAACACAGACATGCAATGAAAACAGATTAAAAATGAAGGACTTTTCCTGGCTTAAAAAAACCTGGTTGCTACAAATATACTATTAAAAAATGTAAAGAATAAACTTTGTTACTGCCAATGATTAGAAACATCCTTTATTACAGACTTTTTTTTAATGCCCTGGTTGCTATGTATGTGGCAGCATTAAAAATGTTAAGAATAAACTTGTTTTTTTAACCAACAATTCTAGGAAACAAATTCTCTGTGGGAAGGTTCCAATAGAGTAATTTACTTCAAACCTCAAGTGTATCATCAGCTAATGTTATCTCATAGCAGAAATGCCTCTAAAGAAACTTACTTGAAAGATGTTGAATGTATGCTTGTATAGAAAGATTTCTATGTACATTTATAAATGTAATTTTTATATGTCAAATTGATTCTATTCTAAATGGTAATTCTGCACCAAGCAAAACTCATAAAGGTCATCAGTATATGTCTGGCCTAAAATACTGTATAACAAAGCTGGGTCGGTGCCATTCATAAGTAAAGACTTAAAAACTCTCTCTACTGAATTCCCAACCATACAATGCTAGAAATGCTTTTTTCCCCAGGCAAAGGAAAACCACTTTTGTTACTTTAAAGAAACTCCCCTCTGATCCAAAGAAACCCTGTTAGAGAGCCCAGCAAGCCAGAAAAATGATAGTTTCATAAAAAAGAATGTGGGTAAGAATAAGAACTTCAGGTTTTCGAAGTCACTAGAAGGAAGGGGAGGTAGCACTCTCTGTATCACAAACAGATTTAAGCCAATAAACACCAAAAGCATTATTGATCATTACATTACTTGGAAAACGCAAAACATGAAGTTATTAGATTAAGCAAAAGAAAATGACTAATATTAAAATTAAAATTTTAGCAGATGTGGTACAGAGGACGCAAATCTGCATACTGTTTCACAGGTTGATAACTCTCAACTTGCCAATGTGTATCTTCTGTAAAAAAGAAGAAATTCAACATTCCAATATGGATTCTCACCCCAAAGGTTAAAGCTCTTTTATTCATTCTTAAGTCTTTATATTACACCTTAGACAAATAAAAGCCTAGGTACATCAATACTAGCTGTCAAAGATATGTATTCATTAGAGTACACTGATCTTCTATGTTAATACTTTAACCCAACCTAATATTCAGTCCAAAAGTCCTTTAACTGGCCTTGAGCTCACTTGGATAGGGAGAAGCAGAAAATACGCCCACAGTCATCAAAAAGACTCTGGGGCTGATGTTCCAATGAGAAGAGAAAAGCCACGCCCCTCAACTAAAACCTAATCAATATGTTGTGCGAGCACTAACATAAAAAAGTTTTAAAAAAAACCTTTGATTCCGACATGATTCTATAATTCCTAAAAAATAAAATTCAAACTTTTAGAATGCATTAAAACAGTATTCAACAATCCGTTAAATCTAAAGCATTTAAACACGTAAAGTTTATTGCAAAATTACTTCTCAAGATGTAGTACAAAATTAAGTATGAAACAGCAGAAAGTTAAAAAAAATAACAAAAAATCTGGTGAGCATCATGGTATGGTAATAGAATTAAAGCACTTAGTTGCAAGCCCAAAACAAAAACTGAAAAAAAAAAAAAAAAAAAAAAAGGCGAGCTGAGAAACACGACTAGGATGAAGTCTGAAAGAGATGGTTGAGGAAATCTAGGTAGCAAGAAGGCTGATCCGATGATGGAAGCTGTAGAAATCTTGCACCAGCAATGGCCGGCGAGGACATGGGAGGGGTGAGAGCAGACAGGTGCTAGGTGAGCAGAGAAGCAAGGAGGGGAGTGGAGTGAGACAAGGTCAGTCTTTACATTACTTCATTTTAAAACATCTTCTGCTTTTAGTTCATTTGAGTTGGATTAAAAAAGCTGAAAAATAAAGACAGGAATGTTACAAAAATAGCGGATACGGTAAATGGCCAGTTTAGAAAAGTCTATTTTTATTATAGTGATAAAATCTGCTCTGTTTTTCACGTGCACCTCATTGCTCAGGAAGCAGAAGCCCCTACAGTCTTCTCATTTTTATATACTTATATTTTAATGTTGTATTAAAAATAAGGCAATCCATATAAAGAGCATATTTTAGCAAAGAACACATCTAATTCCAATTAAGATGGCAAGCTTTTCATGCTGCTACACAAAGAATCCAATTATAACAACGAATAGCCAAAGTACAGATTCTAATCTGTGCATGATGCCTGAAAGAGCCAAAAACAGACCTGTAGAAGGTGCTTTCTAGTCTATCAAATCTTAAAAGTATGACCTTACAGAGTTGTAAAAGCATGCAAGGTGGTCTACGATTTCTATCCCCATCCAAGATTCACCACATTACCTTAGCTTCTGTCATCTTAGTGACATAAGGAGGTCAGTGACATTCTGAAAACTAAAATTAGCTAGAAACAACTCACACAACATAAAAGTGTAAACTGAAAGTGCTAAACAATTCATCTACTTTATCATTAAACCATTTTCTATAGCACTCTTCACTACATAAAGGTTATCAGAATTTTCCTCCTCGTGCCTGTAAAATACATGCCAAATCTACTTTGAGATTTTAAATTCTAATTACTGCATAGAATCCTTTTTACATTCAGACGGATGGAACGAGTAAAGGGAAAGAAGTGCCACACTTCTTGTCCTTGTCCTTGAGTGAAATCTCCAACTTCCTACTTTCATGTCCAAATCTCTACTTTTCCATTCTAACCAAGTGACTGCTGCTATCTGTTCCTCTGTCCAAATTCACTCTCAACACTTAGTTCAAGGGTCTCTTCCTCCACAAAGTATTCTCAGACTTTCCCAGTCTCTGTTGAGAAGATGGAAATGTCACTGGGCTGGGAAAGTCTGAGAATACTTCGTGGAGGAAGAGACCCTTGAACTAAGCTTCAATTAATTTTGATTAACTTTCCATATGTTTGTCCATTATCCTACTCCCTCCTTAGCCACAGATTTACTTTCTGCAGTTTCAGTTATCTGTGGTACAATAGAGAGAGAAGAAGGAAAGAGAAAGAGAAAGGGGGGGATTCATATAACTTATATTACAGTATTGTTATAAGTATTCTATTTCATTATTAATTATTGTTGTTAATCTCTTACTGTGCCTAATTTCTAAATCAAACTTTACCAGAGGTATGTATGTACAGATGCTCTTCGACTTATGAAGGGGCTACATCCCAATAAACCCATTGTTTATGTTGAAAATATCTGAAGTAAAAATGTAGCAGATTTGGGAGGCTGAGGTGAGTGGATTGCCTGAGCCTGCAGGTTCAAGACCTGCCTGGGCAACTTGGCGAGACCTCATCTCTACAATAAATCAAAAATTAGCCAGGCGTGGTAGCATAGAATCCACTCGGAAGGCTGAGGCGGAAGGATCACCAGAGCCCAATAGGTCGAGGCTGCGGTGGCCGGGAGCGGCCACTGCACTCCAGTCTGGGCAAGACTCCAGTCTGAGTGAGACTCCAACTCAAAAAAAAAAAAAAAAAAAGTAGCTGAGAGCTGGGAGCTGCAACTAGCAGCCACTGCTGCCACCCAGCATCCTGAGAGAAGAACAGTTTCCACTGAATGCGTAGCGATTTCCTACCACGTTAAGTCAAACCATCATTAGTTGGGGACTGTCTGTGTAGGAAAAAACATGGTAGATCCAGGTTTGGTACTAGATAGTATTTACAGAGTCTGGTAATATCTGCAGTTTTAGGCATCCACTGGGGGTCAAGGAACATATTCCCCAAGGATAAGGAAGGAATTACTCTGCTAGTGTACGACTGGGACAAAACCACCATCCCACGCATCCATTATTTCCTTCAATAAAAATCTCTGATTTATAATTTTTAATAAGCAAACTCTATCAATACAAGGATGAAACTGGCTGATTTCAGGTAAATTTTAACTTTTTCTTTTTAAAAATACATTGAAGTTGTTGCTTTGTCTAATAAAAAAACAATGAAATACTGGCTTACTTTTGAGGAATAACCCTAGAAGACAATGAATGACTACAGAAAAAAATCTCATTCAGAAATATTGCAAGGAAACATCAAGCAATATTAATATACATAAGAAAACCACTCAACCCACTAAAACTAATCAAACATTAAAAGCAGTGGACTAACAAGCCCAGAACACCAACAAGGAAGTTCATTATAGTATCTAAATTATTATCATAGCAGTTTCCCAAGTGTGGTCCCTGAGACCCTCTCAAGGAGTGTGGAAGATCAAGACTATTTTCACAATAATGCAAAAACTGTTATTTGCCTTTTAATTCATTCTCTCACACGTTTTCAGGGGAATTTCCCAGAGACTGCATGATGTGTGATATCATAACTGACTGGGCACACATATTTAGATGGATAATTATCAATGCAAATTAAAAGAACTATAACTGAATGGCAGGCTAGAAAGAAGGTGGACAAAATAGAATGGTAGTTACTTGCAGGAAAAAAAAGAAAATCAAATGGCATAAACTGAGGTGAAAAACAGGAAACCACAGCCATATTAATGATATGAGGAAGCACAGATACAACGAAAGAACTAAGCTAAGAACAAACTATAAAAGGCACAGTGAGAGCCAAGTCCAACGGCATGTAACTCAAATGGGCAAAGCAGCAAAGCAGGCAGTCAAACGTCTTTATTGCTCACACATGTTCCCAGAAAAACATATTTCATATCGTAAAAATGTAGAGGTTTAATCTCTGCTTCTTCTGGCCTGTCATTAAACATATGTGAAACATCTCGATATGACAACTCTACGTACACAATCATTCTTGCAGCTCCCCAAATTTTAATTACACTGTGAGACAGGAAGATAGTAGTTGGAAAATGACCAGTTAAAATATCTATTGTCAAGGTTTGCAATTTTGTAAAAACAGCATATAATTTTATAAGATCATTCAGTTATGCAATATAATGAATTTTTCCATAATTGAATTAAAGTCAAATCTGTAGATACTATCAAAGAGTAAGAGTTCTCAAGATGTTCTATATCTCCAATACCCCACACAGGTCTGTGGAAGGCCTCTGTGGAAGGCCTCTTGGTCCAGGGATCGGCAGCCCTAAGGAAACCCTTCCTTTCTTATAATTACCTCGAGTACTACACTGCCTGCTAGATGCAGCCAGCAGAAACACGGTGATGCCGACATCTTCTGTGCTGCCACACATTTAAACGGTATATGTACAGCTGAGGCTCTAACTGATAAAGCTCTCAGGAGCACTTCTCTGATCTGTGGATGTATATTTAAGAGTCACCCTAGGGAACTGTTACCAATTAGAAGTGTTCCAGTAATGTCGGAAAGGGATTAGCTCTCATTCCTAAAGGTCCCAAGTACCCTATAAATTCTTTACAAACCTTAGGACTGTGTCCTTTAAAAAAAGTTACACACATACACAAAGATATATAAAAATATATGGAAAACCTGCCTATTTACTGTAAAATTATTTGCTGAAATGTGTTCTTTCAGCACAAAAGCATGGTTTGAAAAGTTAACACGTAAGTGTACAAAAACTGAGTCTATTCTTCTTTTAATAAAACTAATCAAGACATTTTACATATTTTCACCAGAAATAATAATCAAAATTTTAATATCAACAAAGTTCTCAAAAAAACTCACTCCTTTCAAATAATGATTTAACTTACTCTTATTCTTCCATTATTCCTAGTCATTTTCTATAATCAAGTTACTATTTTTAGTGTTATTTAGATGTCATTCATTAAAAGACGTTATATCAATTAATACCTATCATTTTTATCAAAAATTCCTTTGAGTTGAATGTCTAAAAATGAGATTAGGAGAACTGTTCTAGTTTAATCTTATAAATTTCATGACATGATGTGATTTGGGATCTTTATGGTTTAAGAAAGTGTGACCACTGATATATATGAAATTACTCCTTTAAAATTGTATTTTTCTCCCCTTATATATCACTTAAACAAACTTACTCGTTTGAAGTCATTCATATTTGTTGCTTGGACTGGAGTACCAATAAAAGTAAAATATGAAATTCTTGTTGTTTCTTCTTCACCTTGATTGGACTGAACAAATATCTACCAAAAAAATTGTTTTACATTTATAATTACAATGCTTTTTCATGGAAACCTTTAAGTTTAATAAAAGGATTAATCTAAGTTATAAAACATTTAGACTAGTACTCCTTTAAGACTATTAATTCTACTATTCACCCTGCTATTTTCACCTTCTCTAGGTATGTCATGTAAGACACCCAAATATACAAGTTAGTAATGATTTAGAGTGATGGTATGGAGGAGTCATAATTAAATTCTTTACAGAGAATACTGAGAGTATGAGATTCATGATTATACTGGGACAGATTGCTACTGCAAATTTTATTAAAATCGTAGTTTCTCACTTAGGAAAATTTCTGAGGTTATATTTTTTTCTGATACTCATGCATCAATTCTATTTCTTAAAATACTAAAAGATAAAGCTGGGCATAGTGGTTCACGCCTGTAATCCCAGCTGAGGCTACAGGATTGCTTGAGTACAGTGGTTCAAGACCAGCCTGGGCAACTTGGCAAGACCTCATCTCTACAATAAATAAAAAAATTAGCTGGGTATGATGGTGCATGTCTGTGGTTCCAGTTACTTGGAAGACTGATGTGGAAGGATCACCTAAGCCCAGCAGGTCAAGGCTGCGGTGGTTGTGAGCATACCACTGCACTCCAGCCTGGGTGACAGTGAGACTCCAACTCAAAGAAGAAAAAAATAAAGACAGCATTGAAAATCAGCCCCTAAAACTATACCACGTGCTCCATATTTTTTTAAGGCTTTACTCTTTATGCTTTCTATTTTAAAACTTCCCTCAACACGTTGAGAAGTTTTACTCATATTTTTTTTCTTTTTATTTTTGAGTTGGAGTCTCACTCTGTCACCCAGACTGGAGTGCAGTGGCCGTTCCCGGTCACTGCAGCCTCGACCTGCTGGGCTCCGGCGATCCTTCTGCCTCAGTCTTCCAAGTAGCTGGAACTATAGGCGCACGCTACCACATCCAGCTAATTTTTTTTATTTATTGTAGAGATGAGGTCTCGCCAAGTTGCCCAGGCGGGTCTCGAACCCGTGGGCTCAGGCAATCCACTCACCTCAGCCTCCCAAAGCACAGCATTACAGGCTGAGCACCGAGCCCGGCTTTTTTTTTTCAATATACTGAACTTTTAGGCCAGGTACGGTGGTTCCTGTTGGCAATTCCAGTCCTTTGGGAGGCCAAGGCAGGAGAATTGCTTGAGTCCAAAAGTTCAAGACCATCTTGGACAACATAGCAAGACACCGTTTCTATAAAAAATTAAAAATTAAAAAATTTTTATTTTTTTGAGTTGGAATCTTACTCTGTCACCCAGGCTGGAGTGCAGTGGCACATTCATGGCTATCACAGCATCGACCTGCGGGGCTCCGGTAATCCTTCTATCTCAGCCTTCTGAGTAGCTGGAACTACAGGCATGTACTATCACATCTGACTAAAAAAAATTTTTTTAAGTAATTTTTAAGCCAGGTGTAGTGGTGTGCATCTGTAGTCCCAGCTACCCAGGAAGCCAAGGTGGAACGATCACGAGGCCAGAAATTTAAGTCCAGCCTGGGCAACATAGCAAGACCTTATTTCTAAAAATAAATTTTTTAAAAAGTCATTTTTACTGAGTTCATGGCCACCATATTTACAAGCTCTATAGTCCAGAAAAGTAAATAAAATTTTACAAAAATATCATTTATCATCATGCATCACGAGGCATGAATGATAAAGCAAAAGTATCTTCAGTTTAAGTATAAATGTTCTAAAATAAATTTTTAACAAAAGTTGCCATATATATAACAAAGAAAACCCACAAATATTTAAAGATTAACCTGTTCTTCTTTAGAGCACATAAATTAAAAAGAAAATTTAACTAGCCCATTATACACTTTTACTCATTTCACTTCACCTAGGATACTGAAGATATAGCAAACTTGTTAAATATGTGTGAATGAGATACTACTTACAGTTACACTGTTAACATTCTGAAACTTAACATAACGAAGTGGAACGATGCCATCTTCTTTAATATCATCCTCTGTCAGTTCCAGAGCTTGAGTAGGTTCACTTCTTTCTGCCTCTTCAAAATCCATAGATCGGGGCAGGTTGATAAAAATTTTTACATATTTAGGACCCTGACCTATAAAATGGTAGGATAAAATGAAATGCTTAAAAACCTCAAACAGTAATTCCAGCACTTTGGGAGATGAGAAGATTGTGTAAACTCAGGGGTTTGAGACCAGCCTGGGCAACATGGAGAGATCTTGTCTCTAAAATAAATTAAAAAATTAGCCAGACGTGGTGGCACATGCCTGTGGTTCCAGCTATTTGGAAGGCTGAGGCAGATTACCTGAGCCCAGCAGGTCGAGGCTGCAGGGGCCGTGAGGAGGCCATTGCACTCCAGCCTAGGCGACAGAACGAGACTCTGACTCAAAAATAAAAAAGCAAAACACCCATTATACTTTCTTCCCTTTATTATTACACTCACAGTCACACAAACATGCACATACATATCTACTTATACATACCTTCATAGACCTTCATCAGTGGGACAGGTATGAAAGTCTGAGTATTCTGGGAGTCGACCGTTTTTTTTGAAAGGAGGATTTATTGAGAGGACAGAAAAGCTCCCAGTGGGAGGGGCCGAGGGGGTTGCCCGCAAATCTTTTTTATTCCAACACACATTTACCAGTACACAATTCTTGGTCCAGCTAGCAATATATAAAATATTAGGAATATAAGAGTAAAACACAGCTAGACAGCTGGGCACGGCAACTCACGACTGTAATCCCAGCACTTTGGGAGGTGGAAGCAAGAGGACTTCCTGAGATCAGCCTGGGCAACTTAGCGAGACCTCATCTCTACAATAAATCAAAAAAATTAGCCGGGTGTGGTGGCTCATGCCTGGAGTTCCAGCTACGTCCTTGGAAGGCTGAGGCTGAAAGATCACCTGAGCCCATTAGGTCAAGGCTGCAGTGGTTGTGAGCATGCCACTGCACTCCAAGAGGGGTGACAGAGTGAGACTTCCACTTAAAAAAAAAAAAAAAATCCAGGCACAGTGGCTCACAACTGTAACCCTAGCACTTTGGGAGGCCAAGGGGGGAGAAATGGTTTAGCCCAGGAGTTAGAGACTAGCCTGAGTAACACACACAGCGAGGCCTCATCTCTACAAAAATAAAAATAAAAATAAATCAAAAAAATTAGCCGGGTGTGGTGGCTCATGCCTGGAGTTCCAGCTACTTGGAAGGCTGAAGCAGAAGGATCGCCTGAGCCCAGAAGGATGAGGCTGCAGTGCCACTGCACTCCAGCCTGGGCAACAGAGTGAGACCCTGCCTCAAAAAAAAAAAAAAAGGCGCACGCACACACACACACACACACACACACACACACGCAAGAGTGTATACACACACAGATTCCCTGCCCTAAAATACAAAAGACATTCTATGGCAAATGTTAATACCACTGGTGAGGGGTTAGAAGGAAGGTGGCAATGGATTTTGACACTATATGCATATTAACAAGAAGTTCCATAAAATAACTAGCATTTGAGATGGGTCTTACAGTTACCAACAACTAGTACATATTTAGCTATTTAAGAGGAAGCATTATCAGTAACGACAGTTAGCTAAAAGAGAATTAATAATAAAAACAACGGTCAAATCATCTCAGGGATAAGATTAGAATGTGCTCAGTGGTAAAACACACTTATAAAATGTCTTAATCTCTTTAACTTTAGGGCACGATTAAAGACCCATATCTTGCAGCTAATGAAGGGATATTAAGACTTATTTTTATTCATTTGTGTATACAAATACTTAGTAATTTCAGAATAAATGTACAATTTTATTAATAAAAAACTATTAACATGAAAGTTTAGAATAACAAATGATAAGAAAATGTTATCTGCTAAATAGAGCTGTGGCTGCTTCTCCCAATCAGTTAAAAAACAACAACAACTCCTCTCATCCCCATTTCCCTACTCGTATCCTTAGAAAAAGCTTAAAAGGGCCGGGAGTGGTGGCTCATGCCTATAATCTCAGCACTTTGGAAGGCCGAAGCAAGAGGACTGCCTGAGTCCAGGGGTTTGAGACCAGCCTGGGCAGCTTGGTAAGACCCCATCGCTACAATAAATCAAAAAATTAGACGGGCATGGTGGTGTGTGCCTGTAGTTCCAGCTCCTTGGAAGGTTGAGGTGGGAAAATCACCTGAGCTCAGCAGGTCGAGGCTGCGGTGGCTGACCAGTGGTGACAGAGAGAGACTGGCGACAGAGCGAGACTCCAACTCAAAAAAAAGAAAAAAAAGCTTAAAAGAAACAAAGGGCAGAGTAGATAAGGAAAATTCTTTATTCTACAAAAAGAGAAATTCTAAGTCTGTACAATCATGTTTACATGGATAGATATGAAAATGATGACACTATTAATAGCACATGAATAGGAATATCTGCAGTCTCATTGTTTTTATCATTTGTATGAGGAAGAGTTTGAAATAAATCTCTCCCAGTTTCAATCTAAAAAAGCATCTACTTAGAACCTAGGTTTTAGATGAATTCAGTTATTTTCAGATTAAGAGAAGACAAAATTTTTCTTTTTTTTTTTTCTGAGTTGGAGTCTCATTCTGCCACCCAGGCTGGAGTACAACGGCATGCTCATGGCCACCGCAGCCTCAACTTTCTGGGTTTAGGCCATCCTTCTGCCTCAGCCTTCCAAGTAACTGGAACTTCAGATGCACGCTACCACGCCCAGCTAATTTTTTGTGATTTATTGGAGAAATGGGGTCTCACCAAGTTGTCCTGGCTGGTCTCGAATACCTCGGGCTCAGGCAATCCTCTCGCCTCAGTCTACCAAGGTGCTGGGATTACAGACTGAGCCACTGTGCCTGGTCTGAGAAGAAAAATTTTAAAATAAAAAAGCTTAGAAATGAAATAAGTTCCCTTTCTTCCTTTATTACTTAATGATATCACATTACCCATTTGTTTATATCCTTGCTTAGTACCACAATAACTGCACTCTTTCCCAAAACAAGGAATACGTACCTCTATTTACTAAACAGTTTTAAATACATGCTAACAGTTCTACAATGTAGTAAGTTAATGTAAAGAAAAGCAATCCTTTACTCACCATTATCTGGCCCTTGAAATTTCATGGAATAAAGCTTAACAGGTTGATTGAACGCAACAGTAATAAGTAGCTGTGAAGAAAATTGTTTCATTTTAAAAGGACTTTTGAACACCTTGAATACACAAACCAAGTAGTAAAATAACAGAGGCAAAAAAACCTGCAAACTGATCTAACAAAATCAATGTCATATGGAAAACCAGTAAGCTGAAAGTAACCTGATAAGATTGGCATTTGAGAAATACCACTATCAATTATTATGAGAATGGCAGAAGAAAAATTTAAGAGTAAATACTAAAACTATGCATAAGAACCTAAATTCTTGTGACCCATAAATTGGCATGCAACCTACTTTCTAACAAATCAAAAGAAATTCTCAAATTAAAATAAAATTTAAACTATGTATTTTAGCACACAACTAAATATTTTCTAGGATGGTTTGCCAAATATCTTTCCATGTCACTTGACAATTTGAAGGCAATGTACGGGTTATGCAGAAACCAACCCTGAAATGGATGCTGATCCAAAACCGAAGAGAACAACTCTCACAGCTCAAGAGAAACCTCTCAACCTCCATCATGCTCTAATCTGATTAAGTGAACCTGGAAGGCCACATACGGTAACAGGAATACAAAACACCGTCAGAATGTCAGTCCTTCAGAAACTCGTGAGTCAAAAGTCATTCGCTCAATCTTCCTTCATGTCAAAACTGTGTTTGATGTAAGCATCTACACTTCTACTCTGATTTCCCCGGCAGGAAAATTTCAGTAGGCCTGTATGTAACCAGTCCTGCTGATACGCATTATCATCGTCACATTATTTTATTTTATTTTATTTTTTGAGTTGGAGTCTCACTCTGTCGCCCAGACTGGAGTGCAGTGGCCGCTCCCGGCCACCGTAGCCTCGACCTGCTGGGCTCCGGCGATCCTTCCGCCTCAGCCTTCCCAGTAGCCTGAATTACAGGCATGTGCTACCACGCCCGGCTGATTTTTTGATTTATTGTAGAGATGAGGTCTCGCTGCCCAGGCGGGTCTCGAACCCGCGGGCTCAGGCAATCCACTCACCTCAGCCTCCCAAAGGCGCGGGATTACAGGCTGAGCCACCGAGCCCGGCCATCACATTATTTTTTTAGGGCACCTCTTACAAGGAATACAATGTGAATGATACACTCAAAGCTGTATAATAAGGTGGCTCTGGTTAGAGCAATAAAAATCGGGTTTGGATTTATGATTTCAGAATCATTGTGGTCTGTCTGCCAAGAAAATAACTAGGCTATTCTCTTTGATTACACAATACTTTTTATTCTTGTTCTGTAACACTGTGTCAAAAAATAATAAGCATGACATGTTTGGGGAAGCGGACCACAGGTGAAGAGCATGAGATGAGACTGGAAAGCCTGAAACAGATCAAGTCAACCTCTTTTGGAAGCTAGTGAAAAATCATTTCAGACTTTTAAGAAAGAGAAATATGCAGATTTGTACTTTAGAAAAATAACTTTTGTGACCATGTAGAAGATGCATTGGAATGGGGCAAACCAGAGACAATGAAAAACAAAGTAAATTAAAGAAAGTAACAGCCAAGATGAAGACAGAGAAGGCTGGATCAAGGCAGTAACATCCTACTTCCTCTGTGATAACAGCAATGTAGGGAAGTATAGGGACTGCAACACAGGTTTATATCTGGGAGCAAGGAGTCAGCCACACAGGGAGTATTCATCTCATGAGTCTCTATTTCTTAGATACAAATTCATTTGGGTAGGAAAAAGTATGGAAGGCAGGTCAAGGATGAACAAAAGGATCAAACAATGGTAAGAGCTCATTCAGCAGCAGGGCCAATCCAAGAGTTCTGTGTTTTCTTTAGCATATCTGGTAGTCCACATACAAGAACAGAGAAAGGAAGTGGGTCTGTATGGTCAAAAAACAAGAGTAAAAGAAACTAAAAGCTATAGAAAGAAAGGAAAAAGTAATCATCTGGGAAGCGGAGACATAAACCATGAGATGGAAACAAGATAAAGAAACAAGAACAGGCATAAATACTGATAATCCCTACAACACTTAAGTGTACAATTACCTGTTCATCACAGTCAGATTCCAAAAAGGTCATGTCTTTTCGTAAACAGTTGTCAAATCCATGCTCATCACTTTCATTAAGACACTCACAACCAGCCTTGTTAATGAAAGGCATTAAATCCATCTGAAAAAAATTGAATAAGACAAAGCATTTGGATTTGGTATTAAAATGTTAATAAAATTTAAATTTGTTTCTCTCTAAGATTAGGCAATGTTAAAGAAAACTTCACTTTTAAAACAGTGCACAAAATGTTTGTAACAGTCTTTTCACTGAATTATTCGATGAAAGGCAGACTGAGCTATATCATTGATTATTAAAGCCAAATCTAGGATTAGCCCACTTGTTAAGGTATCAGAAACTAAGTCTTAACTTATAGCACTAAGATTATAAGATGTTGACCTATGCTTTTTAAAATAAGTGTTTTATAGTAGAAATACGCAAACTAAAATATCTGTGAGATCCAAAGAAAGCCTATTTCTCTCCTCTAGTGGCCATGGACTCTTTAAATCTATATCCAGAAGAGGTCAGGCTGAGTAGCAAATAAGGACTTAAAAATTTTTTATTATGCAACATTTCAAATACACGTGAATAGAAGAGTATCCACCACTCCCAGTTAAAATAATCACCAACTCATGGCCACTCTTGCGTTACCCAAATGACATCCTGGCCTTGCTCCTGACTATTTTGAAGCAAATACTACACATCATTTCATTCATGACCATTGCAGTATATATCTCTAAGAGATAAGAACTTTAAAAAAAAATTCTCAGTATCATTATCACAATTAGAATTCCAATACCATCAAATATCAGTGCTCAAATTTCACCCAACTATCACCTGTACCCCATAAATATGCCCAATTAAGTATCAACTTTTAAAAGTCATTATGTTCACAAAAACACTTACTTCTGAATTAGAATTTATTTTTTTATTTTTTATTTTTTGAGTTGGAGTCTCACTCTGTCACCCAGACTGGAGTGCTCCGGTGATCCTTCCGCCTCAGCCTTCCAAGTAGCTGGAACTACAGGGGCGCGCTACCACGCCTGGCTAATTTTTGATTTATTATAGAGATGAGGTCTCGCCAAGTTGCCCAGGTGGGTCTTGAACCTGCGGGCTCAGGCAATCCACTCACCTCAGTCTCCCAAAGGCGTGGGATTACAGGCTGAGCCACCAAGCCCAGCATTTTTTAAATTTTATTTTATCGTAGAGATGAGGTCTCACCAAGTTGCCCAGGCTGGTCTCAAACCCACGGGATTACAGGCTGAGCCACCAAGTCCTCTAGCTAATAAATTTAATTTGAAAGTTCTTATTTGAAAATATTCAGAACCAATAAGAGATAAAATATAAAAACATAGTTAATTTCATTTTAACCAATGACAACAAGTGCAAGGTATCATATCATGATTTCACTTTTCAGTCTACATACATAGCCTTTTGGAATATCTGTGTCCTCATTGCTTCCAGGGTCATTTTCTAAGTGCTGCTTGATTTTTTCTTCTAATCCCACAGCATCTGCTCCTTGATATTGATCAATTCTCACTTTGTTTCGAAAAAACAAAAACGTAGGTGTGGCTGATATATTGTTGGTGGCAGCTGTTCCCTAGAATTGAGTTGGACAGTGTTATGAAGTATAACAAATCTTAAAGAACTTTGAATATTCGTTCTACACCTTTATTTAGGCTTAATATCACAAGCATGAACTAAAAACATGCAAAATCCTGTATTCTTAATTTTTATTTAAGAAAGAGCAGCCCTGTGCCTAGAAGACTTCCCACGGGGGCATAGCAACATTCCCCTCACACCCACAATGAAGTACAACCTGTACATTTAATAAGTTTTAGTGCAAAATACTTCACCCAGAAGAGCGATCAGTTTCTAATAGAGAAACTGTGCTTTAGGCCAGACAGCTCTCTCATAATTACAGGGTAATTCTCAAAAGGAACAACCAGAAGGGAACTGATAAGTCAACACCAACTACTGCTACTAGAGAAAAGTGCACATCTAAAAATTAGAAGCCGATCCTTTTCAATCTGGTGAGAAGAAGGTGACATCTTCTGCACTGCAGCCGTCAGCCAGTAACTGCTCTCACATTCCTCAAACCCGACAGAACAGCTAAGGTTTTAGACTCTGCGCTAGCTCCATAATTTTACAGGACTAACTACTGAATGGGACTTGTCTGGTAACAGTTAAGTATCCGAGTTTAAATGTTTCATGACAAGTATAAAGTTAACAGTAAAACAAACGTGTCACCCAACATACTCAAATACTATGAAAAAGTACTGCGGTGTTGTTTAAAGAAAAAGAACCCAGGACTGTCTTCTTTAAGCTACTTAAGCAAGAGAACTATGATTGACCTTTTAGAAAAGTGCTGTCCAAAAGAAAGATAATACAACATACATGTGAGTTAATTTTAAATTTTGCAGTATTCATAACATATAAGTAAAAACAAGTTAAATAAATTTTATAGTGAACCTAATATATGCTTTTCCAACAAAATCAACATAAAAAGATAATGTAACATTTTACATTTTTCTTTCCTCATAAGTCTTTAAACCTGATGTATATTTTACACTTTCAGTATATCCCAATTTGGATTTGCCACATTTAAAGTGCTCAGTCACCACGTGCAGCTATTGGCTATCATACCCAACAGCACAGATACAGGAGAAAGCTGTGATTAGAGACAGAGAACACTTAAAGTAAGGACCAGTGATGCAGTCCAATCACTTAAGCCTAATGACTTAAGCATTGACACATAACTGTGTAATATAGGGTTTACACCAAATCCCAAATTACTAACCACAAACAACATAGTATTATACAAATTTTTCCACTCAGAAATTTAACAAAGACAAAGCTTCACCAAAAGGAGAAAAATTACAGAGCTGCAGAGCTGTTCCTTAATCAGAACTAAAGACTAATTTTAGTGTTAAAAGGAGCCTCTCAAAAACTTTCTTCTGTAACAATTCCTCATATGTCTACATATGCAAATACAGACTGTCACATACCATTCCAACTAAGTAATCAGGGAATTACCTAAAACACTGTGGCTCAATCAACAGTAATCAACATATTAAAGTTTCTGCTGAGTATGCAGCTTTGGAGATAAGATTACAAACTGATCAATTAAAATCAAACTATAACCAAGAATTCCTTGCCATGGCTTTATAATTAGTCAATGCCTCTGTAAAAGATGTAATTCTAAGTCTGTAAAAGATACACAAAGAAATGTAAAACATAGAACTGCCAGGTGACCTATTAGTTTAACACTGTATTAATTTTATACCAGAAGGATATCAGCACAAACCTAAGCAATTAATAACTTGCCACCCTCCTTAACTAAGTAGCCATGACATGTGCAATCACATCAATACAACATCTTCCTGTCTTCAAAGGAGTAAGTACTATGTGCATAAAGAGATAAATGAAGGATATCAAACTGATTCAAAGTAAATTAAAAAAAAAAAAAAGACTCCACTCCTTTACCTGACACTGATGTACATCGACTTCCAAGAAAACAGCCTGTGGATATTTATTACTCATAGAACTGAATGCTGGGGCAATCCTCAGACATGGTCCGCACCTGTGAGGAAGGGAGACATGATATTCAAGTACACCAAAGACTGTGCTAACTTGCATTCTAAAGTATTTATCAACTCAACTTAAAATAAAACAAACATTGATACTCCTTGCTTCTGACTCTCTGGTCTTTTCCACTGGATTATTTATGTACATTTTTATCAATACCACAATATCAGTCTTCATGTCTAATAGTGTTAAGTCTTCAAATTTTGTACTCATTGAGAAAAATGAAAAAAAAACCAAATAAAGAAAAATATATGCTTATGAAAATTGCAAAACTCAATGTTACCAAGATACTAATTCTTCTCAATTTGATCTTCAGAGTTGACTCAAATTCCAGAAAGTTTTCTTGTAGAAATGAACAAGTTTAAATTCCAAAATTTATAGGGAAATACCAAGGACTATGAAGGATATCAAACTGATTCAAAGTAAATTAAAAAAAAAAAAAGACTCCACTCCTTTACCTGACACTGATGTACTCAAATTCCAGAAAGTTTTCTTGTAGAAATGAACAAATTCCAGAAAGTTTTCTTGTAGAAATGAACAAGTTTAAATTCCAAAATTTATAGGGAAATACCAAGGACAACGGAAGACATTCTGAGGTTCAAAACTGAAGATATTACATTATCAGATATTAAGAACTATTATAAAACTTTACTAAAAACTTGACATAGTAGTGCAGTGGAAACAAGATGGTCTTTTCAATAAATACTGCTGAATCAAATGCCTAGGCATATAAGAAAAAAGATGAATCTTAACCCCTGTCTCACACCATACACAAAAACCAATTCCATATGGAATGTAGATCTAAATGTAAAATAGTAAGGGTTTTAGTTGGATCCAACAACACATCTCCAAAATTATCCACCACGACCAAGTAGGCTTCATTCCCAGGATGCAGGGTTGGTTCAACACCTGCAAAATCATAAACGTAATGAAACACATCAAAAGATGTAAAAACAAAAACCACATGATTATATCATCAGATATGGAAAAAGCTTTTGATAAAATCCAGCATCCCTTCTTGAAAAAAATCTGCAAACATCTAGGCATAAATGGAACATACTTCAAAACAGTAAGAGCAATCTACAAAAAACTCACAGCCAATATACAACTAAACAGACAGAAAATGGAACCATTTCTCCTGAAATCCGGAACAAGACAAGGATGCCCACTCTCACCCTTCCTGTTCAACATAGTATTGGAAGTCCTAGCTAGAACCATCAGACAAGAGAAGCAAATCAGGTGCCTCCAAATAGGAAAAGAGGAAGTCAAGTTATTCCTCTTTGCTGATGATATGATTCTATACTTCAAAAATCCAAGATAATTTGTCAAAATCTTCTTGCACTGATAAAGGACTTTGGCAAAGTCTTAGGGTACAAAATAAATCAATTTTTAAAAACCTAATAGCCAGGCTTGGTGGCTCAGCCAGTAATCCCAGCACTTTGGGGGGGCCGAGGCAAGTGGACTGCCTTAGCCCGCGGGTTCGAGACCAGCCCGGACAACTTTGTGAGACATCGTCTCTACAATAAAAAAAAATTAGCTGGGTGCGGTAGCACATGCCTGTATTTCCAGCTACTAGGAAGGCTGAGGCGGAAAGATCACAGAAGCCCAGCAGATTGACACTGGGGTGGCCATGAGTGTGTGTGTACTCCAGCCTGAATGACAGAGTGAGACTCCAACTCAAAAACAAAAACAAAACCTCTGTGGAAAACAGTTTGGCAATTCCTGAAGGATCTAAAAACCGACCTTCCATATGACCCCACAATCCCATTTCTGGGAATATACCTGGAGGAACTCAAATGGTTTTATGAAAAAGATACTTGCACACGCATGTTTATTGCAGCAGTATTCACAACACCAAAAACATGGAATCAACCGGGCAGCCCATCAAAACAGAACTGGATAAAAAAAAATGTGGTACGTATACACGATGGAAGATTACATAGCCATAAGGAAGGACAAAATTATGAACTCTGCAGCAACTTGGATGGACGTAAGAGTCTATAATACTAAATGATCTATCACTGAAACAAAGAACTGAGGACCACATGTTCTCACTCATAAGTGGACCTTGAACAATTATCATAATGCTATAAGAAAGGCATAGACATTAGTGGGAAACTGCCGGGAGGGGGCATCTACATTTGTATATCTAACCCTGAATTGTACCCCACATCTTTAAAATTAAAAAACAAAACAAAACAAAAAAACAACAATTAGGGTTTTAGGAAAAAATCCAGAAGACACTTTCAAAACTTTGGATTAAGCAAAGAGTCCTCAGAACATAAAAAGCACTAAACAAAATGTAAAGAATTGACATACTGAGCTGGGCTCGGTGGCTCAGCCTGTAATCCCGCGCCTTTGGGAGGCTGAGGTGAGTGGACTGCCTGAGCCCACAGGTTCGAGATCCGCCTGGGTAACTTGGCGAGACCTCATCTCTATCATAAATCAAAAATTAGCTGGGTGTGGTAGCACACGCCTGTAGTTCCAGCTACTTGGAAGGCTGAGGTGGAAGGATCACCGGAGCCCAGCAAGTCGAGGCTGCGGCGGCCGGG